GTGGATTGCACATTAAAAGCACAATCTAAATGTTAAAATTACTAAATGATTATTAATAAAATAATATAAAAATAGTTTTATTAAGAATATTTTAATAAATTTATAAGTTACACTTTTTTTTATGCAATAAGTTACACTATATTTAAAACACTTTTCATTTATACATACTACTTTTATAAAAATTTAACAATTTATTTTTTTGCCATAAATAATTAAAATTTATCATAATTTTTAGATGAAAAAGATTATTATCTTTAAACACTAAAATAAAAAAATAGAAATATCAATTATTCGTAGTGAAAAGATGAATGATCATGATTTTATGTAAATGATGTATGTAAAACTTATATATACGTAGATTCTACCTTTATATTAAATTACTTTAAAGGTGTTTGTCAAAACTTAAAAAAACCTTATTTAAAGACAAATTTTTTCTCATAAATTTAAAAATTTATTGAAGAAAAATTCAAAAAATTTACTTTTAAAGTAACTTTTAAGTAAATTTTTAAAAAATTACATATTCAAAATTTCTCAACATTTACTTAGAAATTGCTTTAAAAATTAATTTTTAAATTTTCTCCAAACAAAATTTTAAATTTATAAGAGAAAATTTTACTTTTTAAAGTAAATGCTTTTAAGCATTTCCAAACACCCTCTTCTACCATATATTTTAATTGTTTTTTCTTTTCTTTATAACAATCTCCCTTTATGTTTTTAACGAACAAAACTCAGGGCATTAATGCTCCACAATTCTTTCTCCATTCAATTTTGGATTTTTCTAACATATGTGGTAAGGGCACAGATCAAGGTATGATAAATATAATTTGTTACAATTAATTTACACAAAAAATAATAAAAATTAACTTTTATTTTAATATTATTATCACATAAATAGTTTTAATTAATCAATTAATTAAATTTAAATTAATTTTTATCATTTTTTATATACATTAATTATAAAATAATGCATTTATTGCACACCCTTAAAGTACAAGATAAAAAATTCCTTTAATTTTTATAGTTAACAACTGATGTCTCTTCCTTTCCGTCACTAATTCCATATGCCATATGCATGTACAAGAATTGGGTAACCTGAGCAATGTGGAAGCGCTTATTTTGAGTCATAATAGCCTAAATGGAAGCTTGCCAACGCAAGGTATTAAATGATGAACTCCTCCATTACAATCCCAAGGTTCAATTTGACTACTTTGCTCCTTCGAAAATTTAGGTTGACACTGCATACTGTTCTTGTTTATCTATTAATAGGTTTTACGAGACTGGAGATATTAGATTTGAGCTCAAATCAATTCATCGGGTCCATTCCTCCATCTATTATGGCACTTCATTCTCTAAAGGCATTATCCCTATCTTTTAATCAATTTAACGGCTCATTACCAAATCCCGGTACGTAAAAAATTAATTTATTCTTTTTCCTTCTTGCACATGTGATGGCATGATCAAGACTAAGTCCAACAAGGGATACTATGTTAATCAATGTTCCGAAGGCTTTACGCTACTTCTTTAAAAAAAAAATAAAGAAGGGACATATTTTCTAGGTCTGTCGAAATGAAATTCTTAATGGTTAAAATCCAATATATGTAGGTCCTAAATTCTAACTCATGTTTGGTCCAATTTAACTGAACTCACTACTCAAGACATATTTCATGGGCGGCTTTTGAAAGCCGAAAAAAAAGCATGGCAATAAAAGCCTGAATACCTAATCAGATAAAAGTACTTTGCATATTGTTTTCTAAAAATTTTTTAGATAATATATTTAAAATTTTATTTTTTATTTAACATTTTGAAAAATTAATTGTTGAA